CAACAGCAAGCCTCTATTGACAGTTCCCTATAGCAGGCTTTGCCTGATGAATGCATCTTAGAAGAAAGAATGACCTCCTTGCCCACCTTATGTTTAAATTATGGGGTGCTTTTTTAAAGACACAAATTTTGTGCACGTCTGAGACCCCGAGCTCCACCAACTCAGAAAACTTTACAGCACTGCAGCTGAGCTGCTCTGCATGACTACTCAAGCACAGTCAAACAACCGCTGGGGAGGACACAGCTGCTGGCTCCTCATGCCAAAGAAAACCACAATACCAGGCTGACAGGGTACAAACCAGGCACCGGGAAGCAAGCATGGAAAAGTGGCACTCATTAGACATGGTCATCCCCAGCAGGAGCCAAATTTATGCCAAGAAGTGAAGGCAGGCCAGTCATAAACACCATGCCGCTTACTTCATATGGAAGTTAGCCTACTCCGCCTGTCGTGGGCTTTGGAAAGAAAAAAAATCTGTCTGCTTTGATCTGACTGAACAAATGATTTACTAGCTTATTATGCAGCTATAATGGACACACTGTATGAGCTTCTATGGCAAAGTCAGAAGCTGCCAACTCTGAGGGGAGAAGGAAGAGAGAGTAACTCTATCTGTCGATTGGTTCTGCTGTTGTAATTTTATGAATCACGCAGAGCGGAGGCTTCTACAGGCACAACCCGTTACTGTTTATTCGCATTGGGGTCTGTTGTTTTCATGTGTTCTTTTAATCCCAGCAGTGCAGATACCACTGGATGAATGTCAAGCCCCACCAGCAGCCAGCCCCAGGGATTTAAGGAGCTGCTCCAGAATCCCATAAGAGGAGATCGGGACCCCTTGGTTCTAGTGGATGGATTCCAACCCCGTACATGTTACCACAAATCCTCCCTAGGAAGTTTAATGACAAACAGCTCAGAAGCACATATTCCCGTGGGGAAAGCAGAGCAGGCGGCCCCTGCTGACACATGGCTGAGGGGATGGCCCCTTGGGATGTTCTGCGTAGCAGCTCTGAATCAGTAGTAAAGCTGAAACAGAAGCAAAACAGGGAGCTACAAGGCACTCCACGGAAATCCCTTTTAGTCAACAGAATGCTCCACTTAGATGACAATCTCCCTTCATGTGTTTTCTTTTGAAATTCTTTCGGTTTCTGGGACTGGTTCTGTCTGGGAGGTTAAAGCTTCCAAATGGCAAGGCTCCTGGTAGTCTATCCGCCTCTTTGTGCACTGAATAAGAGACAGTATCCCTACAAGGGAACAATCTTCTTCAGACAACAAGCCATGTCTATGTACATGCACAACACTGACTTAGCCATATGGTCACTGGTTATATATTCAAGCAGTTACTGCAACGGACTGGAATCCAGAAAGAAAACTGGCCTCCTGCCTTTGTTGCCATGGCCTAGCACCCCCGTGCAACACATACCACTTTCCAAGCTTCAGTTGGTGTAAATGGATGCCCTGCTGAGCTCATTAGAAGATCAAGATGCAGCAGACGTATTTGTAGATGACTTTTCTGGAAGCAGAGCTCTGGAGACAATGCACAGCCCAAGGACAATGAGTTAAACATAACTGTACAAAGTGGTGGAAAAGGCTTTCTCAGCCTGGCTTTGTTTTGGCTCCACTACTCCTAAGTAGCACACAGACACACCTACACACAGTCCTTCCTTTTGTTAGCCAACTTTAGAAAGTGAGCTGTATTGTACAACGGCTTTAAAACCCTTCAACATATGCTTATTTGACAACATCAACTCAAGTCATGTTGAAAAGCCACATGAGAGAAGAGTTTAATACATAGTTAGGGCCAATAGATCCTTCTTCCTGCACAGTGATCTTCAAAAGACAAGAACCAGACACGTGAGAAAACCCACCGTCCCACGAGTGGGTTGCAGGTCTGAAGGTCCTATCGAACCAGGAACTGGATTGGAAAGAGGAAGTCAAATATATAACCCTTTTAAAGGATTTCAGCCTACTTCTTTAGCTGTTGAAATGTTTTGCAGAAATTTCAGGACATACGGATTAGAACGGGTTATGAAACTTCATATTTCTCTGGCTCCTCTCATCCTACTATAAGTTTAATGCCATAACTCTGGCCTTCCAGAAAAGCACATGATCAGCTTCAGAATATGGCTAGAGACTCTGTATACACTTCCCAAGTGCGAAACTCAGTGTGCATGTGCGCTGTATGCAACCAAGAATGCGGCTTTCCCCCTGTGCCTTGTTTTAATTAAATACTCAGGATATTGCACTGTAAAGAAAATAGGACTGAAAAAAAAGATGACAAGTGTGCATTGGGTCCCTCTGGCTCTATCTGCCCCAGAAATAGGAATTCAGTTTAGAAAACAGGGAAAAACTCCTTCAGAATAAAATACCGACACCACTTCAGAACGTGGCAGAAAGTACTTCTGGATCTAATTTGATTTCTTCTGCTCCCTTCTGTAGTGAGCTAATAAAGGCTCAGTGCAGGATGCTATGTAACCTTATTTTTCTTGAGGAGCAACAGCAAATTCCAGCAAATGTTTCTTCTTTTAGATCAACTGGAACTTTATAGAGTTTTCTTTTCCAAACAATGGCAGGCTCCAAAACTTAGGAGACCTGCTGCTGCTGCTAAGTAATATGCTGGCTGGCCTCACTGCCACACGTAAGAAACTATCTGGGGAAGAGGATCCAAAAAAAACTAACCTTCCCATTTGCTCTGAGAATCGAAACAATGTGGATTTTGTGCTTGTCAGCTTGACAACCCTAAATGCAGGAGCTCTATTCTTTTTGGCCCTGGGAGCAGGAGTGCCAGAACAGCACAAAACAGGTTGTTTTTGCAGCATTTCCAGACTAAAGGAAGTATCTGAAGGCTTGTTCAGAAATTCTTTTTTCAAAGCATGTTTGCACATTCAGGAAGGGCTGTAACTCTTCAAGATGTTCACACTGCTTTTTCACATCAGGTCAGTTAGAAACCTCTTTATCATTCCTTTAAGGAGCTGCAGTATATGAAGCACACTCCTGCCTGATAAAACAGCCTGTTTAGATAATTTGTGCAAAATTCTGAGTTAGGCCTGAGTTAGGTCTTAACAAGTCAAAGTTCTCCCTGACTTCAGTAGGAACTTTCCCTATGCAACAACTGAGTCAAGTCTGGGAGATTTCATGCTATATTGTTTGCCCATAAAGCAAGCTATAAACCAAGGGTGTTGTGGGCCCGATAATGGGTGTGGGACCAGTCCCCTGGCCAGACAATAGTACAGGGCTGGCCCTGTAGGCTGGATCAGACCCATGGACTCTCCCACTTCTGGTCTGAGACCCAGCAGGAAGAGGCCCAACATCCCAGGTACTTGACTGTTGCTGCAGGAACAAGCTGCAATCAGGCCTCTTCCCATAGTGCTGTTGGGGCTCCAGTGCCCTAGCTCTAACCCAGGTGCTTGGCTACAGCTGTGGGACAGTCTCCACCCTCGTGGCTGTGGACCAGATGGCCTGGCTCTGTGGGCCAGATCTGATCCACAACCTGTATGTTTGACACCACTGCTATAAAACAAATGCAGCTCAAAGCCTTACACATGAATGCAGAAAAGCATCTTCCATCTCAGCTCCTTTCCTTGGCTTGGCAACTGCCTTTTGCATCCAATAACTTACTCTTCCATGCCAAAAACATCACATTAATCCCTGGCTTTCACAACTTGTTATACAAGGAGCAACAAAAGCATCAGCATTTTCCACATAGGTTTATCTGACAGCATCACGGAGGAAATTAAGACCCTAAATCAAGGGTGGATCGTGTTTGATGTGTCCACGTGTAATTAGCACCTCTCCTCTTCCCACCCTCACCCCTTTTTTTTTTTTTTGAAAATTGGTTTGCTTACACAAAAAAAGGTTTGTTTTTTTAAATCATGCCTTGTTCTTCCCCCCCCAATTCAGAACTCATGGTTAGAAGGTATTTTTGATCCCAAGCTACTGCTTTTTAGCTGCTAAATCCCTTGAAGCATGCTACCAATTCTACCCTCAACTATATCCAGCCTGCAAAATGCTCTGCAAAAGGCATGGAGGTCTAAATGCATAGACTGCAGTGAGACACAGAGCTACTCCCCTCCCTGGTATCAGCTCAAAGACCTCCTTGGAAGGGACCAGACACTGCTGTATAATTGCAGGTTTCTGGGTCTTAGTCCCTGTCAACAATGGACTACATAAATTGTCACTCAGCAGAGTGGCCCAAGGTTGAATGAGCAGCAGTGATTGTGGTGCTTCCAATGTGATGCTTTGGCCAGACAATGCATGGACACTAGGAGGCTCTGAGAACTTGATGGGAGGTTGTGTAATATTGCTTGTTACACAGCAACAGGGAAAGGTGCTATCAGCAAACAACTGCCAAACACTATCACAGAACTGAACCTCTTATGAAATGCTGCTTCACAACCTGTGACCCTGCATGGGTTAAACCTGTGCTTCTTGAGAAGCCCAAATTCCTTGTGCTCCCTCTAGAATACTTTCCCCATTGCCAGCTGGATTCACTGGCATCCCAGGCATGAACAGGCACACAGCTCACAAACACCTTTCTCTGCTCTTGCCTCTTTAGACACCTCACTAACATTTTGGTTCTGGATTAGATGTTCATCAGAATGTCTTGTGTACAAACTGAGGTTGGCCCCAACCCGAAGCACTGCACACAGGAAGCAAGCCTCACTGATTTTGAGGTTACCAGGGCCACAGAATGGGCCTGCTCTGCATTAATCAAAAGCACATGATCCTCCTCCTTTGGTTCATTTATCACTTCAAGGCAATAACAGTGCATCATTCCATACAGCATCCGTACAGAATAGAATAATCTGCCCAAGGGACCCAGCAAGAGAAATGTTAATGACAGCTGCCAGGAAATAATCCACAATTCACTGCCATTCACCAGCTCCCTAAGCAGCAGATGGATGCAAAAGTGGGCCAAAAGAAACTACATTTTTATTGTGTGCCGAAGTGGGTGCTAAGATGGGTAAAGAGGATTAGATAGCCTTGCAGAACCGAAGGCTTTGACTTACCAATGCAGGTCCTGCCATCTGTGTGCAGACGAAAGCCTGGCTTGCACTCACAGTAATAGGACCCCAGGGTGTTCACGCATCTATGCTGGCAGCCCCCATTGTGAACTTGGCACTCATCAACATCTGCAGAAGGGGAGAGAGGAAGGACAAAAACCTCAATGAAGTGGGCATGAAAGCAGTTGAGATCAGCATTCCTTGGCCTCTGTGAACCAACTCCAGATATGGGGAACAAATGGAGAGGAGAGGGGAGAAGAGGAGAGGAAACAGTTCTTTCCATCATGTTTAATCACTCAAGCCATGTTGAAAATCACAAGGACAGGCCTGTGATCAGCACTAATTTACATCATATGAGTCATTCACCATAAACTGCTGTTTAGATGTCAACTTGACAAAACTGCCATTCCCAGAAGCAAATTAGTTCCTACATGTAACTTTCTGACTCTTGGCCATAGAACCAGGGTAAACAGAGTCAAGACTGATTCAATCAAACTACTGGAATTCCTGCGTCTGGTACAGCTTCTTAATCCTTCTCATTCTCCCTCTGCTGTAAACAGGCCAGGCTAGTCTATTTGCTATATAAATATTACACCGTTTATAATGATGGCATGAGCAAGCAACTAACTTTTATGCACAACCAGAGGGGACTTAGTTTTAAATACATAGATTCTATGGAATTATAGGTTCAGATCCTAGCACAGGAGACTCGGCCCCCTCATGAGGCAGATAAACTGGAGTCCTTTCAATTTACGTTGGAATAAGGGCTTGAACACAAGAGGCCCTGGCTTCTGTCCATGTGCAACTGAGTTCAAATGTGCCCATGCTTACATGAAACACTGCCCATGCCACCCAACTTGTGTGGGTCAATTGGGTTTTATGCAAACAATTCAGGTGTGCACAAGGTTGTGCTGCGCAATTTTGAAAAATTGGGCCACCATAAAGTAGGAGTTTGTCTATATATCCTTGAGCAACATTTCCCCTTCCTCCCTGTGTTGTCTGCACAGCTGGAGTTCAAAGACATCATCATCTGTAGATGGTGTGTGAAGCACTTTGACATGCGTTAGCATCAAAGACTGCATGTAAATATAAAATATTATTACTATCAGGCCCTTCATCTCAACAGCACCTGAAGCCTTTTATTTCACAAACTAGATGCTCAGGACTCTTCATGTGATGCTGAAACTCTGGGGTACAATGTGAGAAATGATTCTATTGTGCTCAGTAAATCTATAAATCATCATTAGAAGCCAGAAAGCAAAAAAAAGAAGAGCTTATCTCAGTAAAACTGATTACGACGGACCTTTATCTCAGATTTCCTCACAGTGAAATAGTGCATGTTTAATGGCCAAGGTCAGCGTGACCACCTGTAAAAAAACCTCTGAAATGTGCATTGGCAGAGTCATACAGGACAACTTTCTAGTTTGCCTTTGCTGGTTCTTCATACAGTCATTGCGGTATTGGGCTTTTACACCAAAACAAACCTGGAAAAACCAAAGCAGTATTTTTTGCAAGAAAGAAACCGGCTTGGTCAGTGTTAATTTGTGTTTTTGTTCCCATTACTGAAATTACTTGGGCTTGAAGCAAAGAAAGAATCTCTAGCAGAATAATCTTGATGTACCCCCTCAAACCCAGAGCATTCTTTCAAGGGTTCAAATGCCAACAAACCTATGTTTTCCTGGCAATGCATCCTAATCCTCCTAATATTTAAAACTACAAAACAGACAGTAGTCAGCTTGTGATAAAAGAGATTTATTTCTGTTCCACAGTGTGTTAGGTCATAGACAACTGTCCTGACATATGAAATACTAGCAACAATATTCCTCAACTGAGAATGCTCCAGCTACTTAATGCTAGCTTATCCTCTCTCTCTCTCTCTTTCTCTCTCTCTCTCTGCAGCTTAGAGGTGAAAAAGACATATCTATGTCTAAAGGGTGAGTTGCACAAACACACAGAATCCACAGAAATTAATTACAGGTCTGGCTTTTTCCTCTGTTCTGATTCCCCTCTCCCCTTCCTACAAACAAGGAGGAATTCAAGCACTTCTACATGTGCTTTGATGAGTTCTGATTAGAATCTGTAGGAGCAGACTTGATTAATTGAGTCTGCTGGAGCTCCAGAGAGCTGCTCTAATTAAAATACCCCCCACCCCACCCCAGAGCACATGTATAGGTGGCCCAAAGTACCAATATAAGTGGAAGAGTATCTGAAGGGCACCATTCTCTTCTGTATTTCAGAGACGTGGCTTCTTGGCTTAGAGAATAAATCAATGTGTCTGGTTATAATTCAGCTTGTTTTCCCTCTGTACGAATATTCCTCTCACAGCTGAATCAAAATGCTCAAAAAAGGTGCCTAAATGGCTTTCTATCAGATGGTAACTGAATTTTGAAAGTCAGAATTGAGGAGAAAGGCTAATGGAATTAACACCCCTTCTCTTCTCCCAGTTGCAGGGGGTGACAACAGTCCTTCATGAGAACATAAGATCTAGTTCCATAAGACCCTTTTTTATATCAGTGAACAAAAAAGATTCTCAGACCAAACCATACCAGACAGGATAACCAGGAAGATCAGGTGCTCCAGCAGAGCTTTTAACTGAGAATAACTTTCCCTGCAAATGCCTTCATGAACCTCTAGGCAGCTAAGCACTGTGGATAACCAGCAGGAAAATGCATGCCAAGTGTCTCACACAGCAGCATAGCCCCTCCAGCCTGCGAGGACTGGGAAGGAAGACAGAACTCCTTAGACTCTGGTGGAAACAGACTTCAGCAGATCTCATCTCTTCTATGGAAAGGATAACCAAGTCACTCCTAGACAGACAAGATGCCTCTGGGAGTCTCCAGCACAGCCTGAAGAGATTGCGCTGTGATCGGGGCAGAATCTCCTGCTCACATACTGGACTGACTTCCAGATCAAAGCAGCTAGCAGAGAAAGGCCCAGTGGTTATTGGGTTTGTGCTGCTATGGCTTAAGGTGTGTGAGTTCCAGAACAATAATAAAAAACTTCTGTTCTCCTTTAACATCTCCTCACTGGACATTGCTTGGAAATATCAGTGAATGAAACACCATCACTCCCAATGACTTGGTTAAACCACAGACAGACAAGTGACTTGCTAAGTGTCACACAGCATTTGGTGACAGGGTAGCGGGTAGACCCCAGGAGCCCCAATAGCAACTACTAACAAACTTGGCTTCTAGTCCCCTGCTCTCCCATCCTAGGCTGATTCTTTCTTAATATTCGTATGTGAATGAGAGAAGCAGTGGCTGAACAATACAGAACCGGTGTGAGGTGATGACCCTTTCTCTTGGCTGTTAGCAGTGGAGCCAAGGCTGGGTTGATTCAGAGGAACAGACTAAAAATGTGTTCTCAGCAGGCAGGAAGTTTTTAACCAGAAGCAATTTTTACAGCAATAAAGCCAATAAAATGTGTTGTGAGGTGAAACTTCAGCCCCTATTGGTTCTAAGATTTTCCCCAAACACCAGTATTTCAGGGAAAAAATGCTGCAGCAAGAGCTGATGCGCCTGCCAAACCAATCAAGCTCTAACTTCTGCCCTGGATCCCAGCATGGTTTAGATCCTGCAGGGTCCCAAAATGGACAATGTATCAACTGTACAAGACGGTTGGTTATCCGCCTAGAACAGCGTGCCGAAAAAAACCGCAATGTCTACTTTGTAAGGTGTCGGAGCGCAGGCCTGCCAGAAAAACAAGACCAGGACAGGGAGTACATGGCACTGTATATTAATATAGTTAATAATCATAAATGTTGCTTTTTTTTTTTTACAGTAAATACCAAGTTTTCTAAAATTCTAAACCCAGTGACAATAAATAAAACGTTATACCTTTGTTCTTGTTCTTTTTTTGTTAAGCATGTTGTGATGAAACAGAAAAAAAAGAGAAAGAAGAGAAAAATGAGAGAGAGAAAAAAAGGAAGTGAGAAAGAGAAAAAGAAAAGAGAAAGCAAAAAGAAAAAAAGGATAGGATAGGGAGAGAAAAAGGAAAAAAGAGTGAAAAAAGAAAAGAGAAAAAATGGGAAAGAAAAAGAAGAGAAAGAGAAAAAGGAGAGGAAAAGAGAAGAAGTAAAAAAATAGAGAGAAAAAAGAGAGAAAGAGAGAGGAGAACAAGGAGAGAAAGAAAGGAGAACAAGAAGAGAAAGAGGGAGAGAAGTAAAAAAGAGAAAGAAGAGAAGAGGAAAAAAGAAAAACAGAAAAGAAAAAAGGAGAAAGAAAGAAAGAAAGAAGAGAACAGAAAAAGGAGAGGAGAGAAAAGGAGAGAAGAGAGAGAGAAAAAGAGACGGAAACAGAAAAAATAGAAAAAGAGGGAAAGGGAAAATCAAAGTAAAAAAAGAGAAGGAAAGAAAAAAGAAGAGAGAAAAAGGAGAGAAGCGAGAAAGGAAAAAGGAGAGAAAAGGGAGAAAAAGAGGAGAGAGAAATAGAAGAGAGGTCAAAACGGGAAAAGAGAAAGAGGGTGAGTCCCTCACTGCCCATGTCCCCCCGCTACCAGCTGCGGCTCAGGGCCGCTGGTCCAGGGCAGACAGACACCCCATCCCACCTGGGTGGGGGCAGCACTAGGGAACCAAGTGCTGGTGCTGGCGCTCAGGGCACGGCCCAGGCAGCATGGGGAGAAGCAGGTGTTAGGGGAGGCATTGGGGACAGGCCAGCCTGGCTAGGCCCTTGGGAAGTCAGCAGCCAGAGAAGAGCAGGGCTGGGTGGGAAGCAGGGGTGCCCTGGGGCTCTGCAGACTCAGGCCATGGCGGGTGGACAGGGGCATCCAGCAGCACCCGAGGTGGGGCCCAGTCCTGCCCACACAGCTCCATGGGGAAGAACCGCAGCTGCCCTGCCTGTGACGTGATGCCGCCTGGCTGGGGTGGGACGCCAGCTTCAGGGGCCTCCTAGCTCTGGGCTCAGGCTTCCTGCACGCCAGGCACAGCTTGAATGGGGCAGAGCCACCCGTGGCGAAAGGGCCCAGCCGCAGGAGCCCGCTGGGCCCTGGGAACACCCACCATGGACAGCGCTTAGGGCCAAGCCAGCCAGGAGCCTCCAGAAGAGTGGCCTGAGCCCCTGCCCCTGGAGGGGAGCTGCAGGTGGGGGAAGCTGGGGCCCTGGGCCAGTGCTGTGGAGGGCTGCTGTGCTGGA